AAAATATTTTCGCTTGTCGGTTTCGCATACACCCCATAGAAAGGCAATCTGAGCTGGGGTAAAAACAACCACATAGTCCTCCACACGACTTCAGACATCCGTTCTTTTAGGAAAGTCCATTTAATTCTAGAAGAAGATCAGATGAATTGATTTTAGCACATTTTTTGCCAGTACATGATCTCATGTGTGTGGGCAGCGTTTGCTGTCTAAAGTGTAACCTGAACATCGCGACTGTAGTCAATAATTTCGTGATCGCTGTGAGGGAATAGCTCTTTATCGAACACTTGTGTGAAATGCGAGGGAACTTTGTGCAAAGATGCGTAAATCTCTTGCTTATAAGTACTGATCTTGACAATATTTGATAGTGTAATCTTGCAAGTTTTGCTGGAGGAAGTCTCAGAGCAAAGCTTGAATTCATTCGTAACAACCGCAGATGCCAGTCGACGTAACCGCCTATTCCTCGCAGAGATTCGCGTTGCGCCTCTGAGGTAGCGTAGACTTGAGCTTTGTCCGGATTGTAGTCCCTGATGCACCAGAAAATGGGGCTTGCTATCCTCTTTTTCACCTGGCCAGGGCGGTTGTTCACCGATCGACACCTCAAACTTGGGTAATTAGACTTTTATTAGCGGAAGTATATATTAAAAACCACACGGTGCGAGGGGGACGATCACTAATAAAACATGGAAAGATTAGGAAATGCAATCGCTAAAGTATAGAAGAGAAAAGAAATATTATACATAAAAAACCAACAATCGCAAAATAGCTAACAACTAAAGCAAGCGTTCTTGCCCTGTATATACGCTTCAGCAACCATTAGTTTATCAATGACAAACGCTCTGTTTTGAGAAGGTTGCATCGAATACCGCTTTACAAATCTTCACTCTCCTTTTTTTTCATAGACAATCGCAAATCTTTCTCGCAGTCATGTTCTGAAAAGCGCGGTGGATCCCCTTCATCAGATCTCTCTGCAATACTGCGCTTAGTGTACTCTGATCTCGCCAAAGATCACGTAACGGGATAAGTAGGTTTTTTTACTCAAGTCTGAAATGATCTAACAAGGAAAGGATACTTGATGACCCCGACCATGTGGAATGCGATGTAAACCATGAGATGCGTGATTCTAAATCTGTGCTCGAAATATGCGAAACGATCATTTAAAGGCAGTTATGAACTTCTTCTCGTAGAAAATTTGCGTACCTTTAGATACCCTATTTTCAGGTGTATAAGCTGCACCCTTTTTGCTCTAAACGCAAGCAGACCCAGGCGTGCCGTCGCGTGTCTCGCGAAGCGGTCGCCTTACCGCATACTGCTCTCACTTAACGCGCTCCATGATGACAGTCAGTCTTTTGGCGTGTTCGCCTTTAGAGCGAAAAAGGCTTATACACCTGAAAATAGGATTTAAAATCACCCAATTTGATCTATTTTACCGTTTGAAGCTATTGAGGAGAATCTTGAAAGATGTAACGTTGTATTTATGCTTATCTAAACCATACTCAGTTTTTATTTATGATTTTTACCCTCCGCAGTAGCGCAATTTATTTTTGAAAAATTAATCATAACTCCATCCAGGTTCTCGTTTCGCAGATATAGAAAAAGGTATCGAACCAGCATTGAAGGGCGCATTTTTTGATATACAAACCGTTAGGAATGGCCGGGGTCACCAAGTATCCTTCCCTTTTAAGAAAGAATTTGAATGACAGGAAGAGCAAAACCTTTGCAGTGCTTATTTTCTATAATTCACTGGCTCTCTAAAGGGCTGGCTATACATCACGCGACTCCATCTCATCGCGATTTTCTCGAAAAGACAATTGTTACGTATCCATTGCATGCCGATCACATGCATCAGTTGTTAATTTTCCGAATCGATTAGTTGCGATTAGTTATCACAACCAAGATGCAAAATAACCGGCAGCAGTGAAATCGTAGCAGCTGTCTTGTCGAAAGAATTGCTCAAAAGAAAAGAAAAGAAGAGAAAGAATGTTTCTAGGTCAAATGAACTGGCTTTTACAAAAATATGTTGAACCTTTTTCTTTCAGCGGCTGTAAACACGACTTCTTCTGTACATTTTCGCATGACCTTCAATCTCTTAAAGCCAGTGCCCACCCAAAATGTCATCTTCCATGTATTCATTAATATCGGACCTCCTCATGGCGCTGATTTCGGATATGAGTTCAAATTACCAGAAAGCTTCAAAATTGTCGCTCTCTGATGCCCTAGTTTGGTAGATGTGGACGTGTCCCCGGCGTGGGTCACGTTGTATGCAACAGGAAACCTCGTCGTGTGCAACAATGCTACAACATAAACTATGCGTCCCGACGGTCAAAATACGTCACGAGGCAATCCGTGGGTGAGCGGTGCGCAAAAAAGGGGGCGGAGTGCAAATAGGATCAGTACGTTTCTCCTTTTGTAGGCAACATTAGGGGACCGGAGCAGTTGGCCTTCTTTTAGGCCTGCTAGTAGGATAAGTAGTAATCTGGAGTGAACAGATTTGGGGTGAACGCTGCCTCTAAGTCCAGTTGATAAAGAATGCTGACACCAACACGAAGAGAATTGGCAACAGCAAGATCGCGACAACAACAATGTCCATGTCATCTCCGTCATAGCTTGTCCAAGGTATTAGCTTCAATGGCTTATCTGTTTCTAGTTCACTCAGTTCTGATCATTATTTGTGAATTTTGATCATCTATATTTGCAAGTGCAAGGGTTTTATCACTCAAGGTATCTTGAGGTATTGCGGTTTGAATTGGTGTTTACAGTGCTCGTGACAGCATGAAAAATAAACCTTTGAACCCAACAAAGGGTGTATCAGCCGGGAGCTTGGCCGCTCGCGTGGCAGACGACTATCTAAAAACTATCTACGCCTGCAGAAAAACGGACTAGACCGTTTCACAAGAAGGATGAGATCTTTCATGCACGATGAATTCCGCAGGAAAAACAAGTTGTTGCGAAAGTCGCTGAGTTGTTAAGGTTGTCAACGAGGCAAGTGAGGAGAACGTTGAAGTCTGCAACGAGTTACACGTCGAACATGAAAGAAGACAAGGAGATTAGGAATTCTTACAAGGGACGTCATTTACCTTAGAATCGCGTTTCGAGATGAGACACATACAGGGTGTCCCTAAGGTAAGTACACACTTTTCAATCGCTAATATCTCCCTTCCCATTGTGTCTTTTTCAACCATTTAAGCACCATTCTGTAGAGGAGACTCTAACATAGATTTCTTATATCGAGCAAATCACTGATTTCTCTTCTTTACTGTAGAATTATTGTAGGAACTTCGACAAGGGTCTTAGGCCATTGGAAGCCATATTCTGCCTCGAAACAGAGCCAAGCAAGCCAAAATCTCTTGTACTATGGTAATGAAAGCCGCTAATTTCGAATATGAAGTTTTCACTTAACTATGATGCTTCTTTCCAAAGTTATCCCAGGTAAACCGTAATAATCATTCCCAGTATTTGTCAGAAATGTGATTACACCATCAAAAAAGCTGAAAACACTCGTAAAAAGTTATGTAGTGGAATCAGCTTGCGCAAATACCCTAGTACACGATCTTTCAGATTTTTTTGAAAAAAAATTTTGTCGGATGGCATATTTCACAATGGTTTCACATGCTGGAAGTTCTTACCGTAATCCTAGAGTAATAAAGAGCGATCGTTGATTCGCTCAATACTGTAGATCTAAGGTGAAGCCTTCTCTACGGAATGGTACTGAAATGGCAAGAAAGAAAGGACCATTGGGAAGAGAGATATTGACGTTTGAAAAGTGTGCTTACTTTTAGGACACCCTGTATATTTAGAATCAGCTTCAAACGCTCCATGTAGGCTGTTCCTAGCTGCTGCACGTCATTTATTCTCTTCTTCTCGATTTTCTTCTGTGCAAAATTTGCATACTTTTTGATGTAGTGGCATTACAGTATCATCACCTAAGTGCTAATTGACTGCATGAAGTTTCTGGTCAATTACAAAAGAATCAATCCAATATGATTTTAGTATCCCAGCACCGTCTTTAGGCAGATCCATCTACAGGCAGCCTTATCATATGGAGAAAAGTATGGCAATTTTACACAGAAAAAAGCCAATTACTATATACTTTAGAATGACGTGCCGCAGCTAGGAGCAGATACTTGGAATCAGCGTCTGAAGATTCCATGTATATGTCTCGTCTCGAAACGCGATTCTAAGATATCTGACGTCCCTTGTTAGATGACGAAGACGAAGGTGAAGACCCACGCAACGTGAAACAACGCTTGGAAATATGCTAGATTATACAAGCCATAGACGATTGAAATATGCCTATCGAGGAGCTTAAGAGAAGATTAAGATGTGCTCCGACTCTCGCAGAAACTATCCATTTGAGATCGCTATTCTGGATGCCAGCTTCAGAGACTCTGCCACTCATTCTCGCCACCAAATGTTGCCGTTTTATAGTTTCTACGTAAGATGGCTCGTTTTGAAGCTTAAACGCTGTTTCTTTTCCAATTACCACTCCGGAATGGATGAGCAAGTCATTGTCAGACCGTCTAGTATCGATGTGATTTTGGTGAAGGATTAACCCGAAACAGCTTTGATTATTCTAGATAAATCGAATAGTCTAACCTCGGAGAAGGACCGTGTAAAATGTGAATCAGGTGTCTGACTTATCAGGCCTCTCTGGAAGGTATTGTTGCCAAAACGCATGGCAGATATATCATATCAAATCTGTACGACACAGAAAACTTTTAGTTAACTTCCTAACGAAAATCCCCAAGATTTACAAACAAGGATCTTATGGAACAAGACAATGTAATTTATTTCATCAAAACAGTTCGAACAGACTAGAAAATGAGACACTGCATAGCTTCGAAATCATCAATACATACATACAGTGAAGAAAAATAAATAAATGAACAACGGTAAAGTTTTACCCATAATGGAAGTGTTTGTAGTGGCAAGTATAAAGCTATAAGGTATATATCTGCTTGTTTTATAGATACCAGTAAAATCTGCAAAAGATCTCGGTAACTTTAGAAATATGACATATTTCTATACATTCTTTGTGGTACTGGAGGTGGTTCTGGCTCCTGCAAGGGTATTCAGTTGATTACTGGAATTCAAACCTAGATATCTTGAGCAATTACCTCATAACTGTGTTTCGATGGGAAGCTATGGCGATTAATATCACTTGATGAGTTGCTGGAAGAAAATCGATATATCGATTTTTTGCTTTATTGAATTAGGAACTCTAAACTCACTTTCTAACACCTAGTACGACATCTCCCACTATCCGTTTCGTATTCAAATGAGGCTTGTGCTCACGATATGCCTGTAAACATGTTTTCTTGAAATTGGACAACTGTCACAGAGCGGCGGGGCTGTACTCACATGACCAATTGGCGTTTCATATCCGTCAGCCGTGGCGTAGAGCGAATCGACTGATGAATTCATTGCATGATTGACGTGCCCATTTTCTGTTGAGATGATTCGCGGTTTCCGCATTGCGTAGGCGTCAATCTCCTGAAAGATAGGCTCCGCCTCTTCTGCAAAATGTGGCACATAAAACTGAAAAATTACCCGTGTCCTTTGCCAACTGCTCTCTTTCTTGTCTTGATGCCTTCTTACAAACCTCGCTAATGCAAAAACTGCAAGGACTGCAACGGCAAGAATGCCTACGCAAATAATGGATGCTAGGACTCCAGGAGTCTGGAATACAGCCAAATGGGCGGAGCCTATGTCGCACTGTGGGCTGACGTCGCCAGTTACAGTTCGAGTAAAGTACTGTAAAAAGAATTTTGGACGAGTTGTCATGATATTCTGGTCTGCAAGTACTACCTCATTTGACGCAGACTCCTCCATGCTCAATGTCTGTAGATATCCGTTGACTACAAATCGACGTAAGCAACCGGCAAATTGCCTGGAACAGACAACTCGTACAAAAAGAACGAGTTTCATCAACCTACCCTCGCAATCCATTTATTCCAAGCTGGACACGCTTCAAATCGGCAGAAATGATGCTTGGTAAAACCATCCGTGATACAGCTTCTTTGCCAATACCGTCGACTTTAAAGGTGATCTGCAAATGTGCGTGAAATAAATTGTTTCATGTTCCGGCTGCCAAAATTCTAAGGAAACCTATTCTTACCGTCTTTCTGTCTCCACTTAGCTCAAGTGCAACTTGGTGCCAATTGCCGTCGTCCACTATTTGGCTACCAAGCGTGATTTCTATGGGTGTCCTATAGCTATCGAAAACGCGATATCGTACTTTGGATGAGTGAACCTAAAACAGGTAATATGAAGAAAGAAGATGAGTGGACCTAAAAAAGGTAATATGAAGAAAGGAGATAACTGAGGTAACTCTAGGTAAAAATTTTTAGCAAGCGACGCCCCTTACTACTTCAGCATTGGCAGAAATGGATTCCGGAGCCATTCTTCACGTGTAAGAATCCAAATGAAATCTCTACTTGGTTTTGTGTGTCGGAATATGTTCCAGCTGTCATGGATGTGATCTTACCTCAATCACAGCGAATTCACGTTCGTAGGACAGTGCGACAATAACACCATGTGAATTTTTCGTTCGGAAATCCATCGATATCGATTGACTACCGTTGCAGAACTCATTAGTGACCAGTGGTGAGTAATTCAGTTCCAACTCTGTTCTCAATTCGTTTGTTGGTGTAAAGGTCACCGAGCCCTTTGACAACGATATTACATGGGAATCTGAAAGCAATTTTTTTTAGCGAAGGGGAACTCGTCCAAATTCGAACGATCGTCTCTTACCAGATGAGCAGTCTTTCGCTAAGAATCCTACTGGACAGCGGCAAGTGTTCGAACGGCCGCTCTGTACCAGACACTCTCCTTTTCCACATTGTAGTTCGGAACAAGGTGCTTTTGCAGTTTCTAACTTTTTGAGCATTTTCACGGTTTTCTTTCGCTTTTGCTCAATCGCGGTACCGTATGTTCTGATAGAACAGTCAGCTCCAGCAAAGCCTAGTAGGCAATCGCAAACGCCATTCGTGCAGATGCCGCTAAAACAAAAGGAGTTCAGTAATTTTCCTTCATTTTTCTTCTTATACCTAACTATGAAAATCTACTTTTCGTTATCTCAAGAATATAGCGGCGAGAGAAGAGTGATAAGTAACTGTCATTATGAATCTTAACCAACATCTTACCCACAATTATTTTGGGAAAGTGCTATATTAAGTTGGAAAAATTATGATTTGCGCAATTTTCGCTCGAAAAGTACTAATAAAGTATAAGATTGTCGCTTTTTTTTGAAAATCTGGGTAACAGGAATGTCTCTCCAATCGCGATTTTTTGGCAGATATTTCTATTAATCCAAATAGCCTGATTGGAAAAGTGAGACAATTTGATAGTGGTCCGGTTAAAAAAAGGATAGCAACCCACTTTTTGCACGTCTTCTCACAATCGCGCACACAGTCCCCGTCCTCTGTGCATTCTCCATCAGGACAACTAGCACGATCACACTTCTTCATGCTCTCGCAAAGTTCACCAGTGAATCCAGGAGGACACTCGCAGCTGAATACCATATGTAAATTTTTTGGCGTAAGGCCAAAATTCAGTTTACACTTACTTAGCTACTCCCACGCCCTCCGGTATACTCCACAGTGACTCCGGTCCCGTAAATGTTGAGCTCTTCTTGTTCCAAAGCACCTTTTGTTGACAAGTCCCATTATTGGCACAGGAGACATTAGCGCAAAGATTCGTTTCCATGGACTCGAGCAGTGCGTGGGCAAACTCGTCCATCTTGAAGAATCTCGCGACGATGTCGCGCGAATCGTTGGCTGAGATCACTTTTTGATTGCGATCAACTATGGCGAGCGAGAGGGTGTTGCGATACGCTGACATCTCAAAAGCCAAGGGATAGAATGTCTGGAAAACAGATTCTAACTTGAAAACTCGTACAAATGGGCGTGGCTATACCAAATCACTGTAGGTCCGCTGTAACTCAGTTAGCATCTGAGCTATTCCACTGGGAAGAGCGTAAACGACGAGCTGTAGCATGGATGGGGCAAATTCGTGCTGAATGCGGAGGGCCTTCAAAGCAACTTCCACTGTTCGATTATTGATCAATGCATTGATCGTTTCGTAATTATCGATCGATTGCTCGATAGTTATACGACAGTCTTCTGATACCTGCAAATAATCAATGGATATGTCGGGAAAATTGATTTCGACTGAACAAGCTTTCCTTGTTGTCGTAATAGATTTAATTTTTCAAAAAAAGATTATATTAATTACCATATCTACTATTTTGAATTTATTGACTGGTTTTAATGTGATATTTTATGACATCAAAGTCTACTTTTAATTGTACAGAATTTTGTTCTCTTGCATATTAGGATTAGAATTTTCGAGGCAAATCCTATAGCAACAAGAAGTCAGGTATATCGAGAGATATAGCGGAAGAAATTGCTACGGGTTACACTGTCAAAAATGAGAAAAGTAATCAAATTATGAACTACGTCAGGCATAAGTACTACCGAGTGAACAGCAGATTCACCTCATATCGATCGTTATTGATTGCCTGACATTTAGGCGGAGATCCAACGTCTAGATCATCAAGATCGAACTCAGTCACAGGATCCGCCAGCAAAGCAGTAGCATTGATCTTTGGACGAGTTGTCGCAGTCTCTGCATCTTCGTCAACGAACACCTGGAATCGCAATGTATCTGGTGGAGTCGATTTTTCTCAGTGCCATTCCCTCTTGCAGCCACCAATATTTTTTGAAATAAAACTTACCACAAATGTCTTTGTCAGTGGTCTGGCTGCCGATGGTTGAACAACGATGGGTATACGGTAGACGCTTCGAATCGACCTATTCAATGGTTTTAATGTAGACAGCATACCGTCAGGTGATAATACAAATATCTGAAAATAATAAATATAAGAAAGTCTTCTATCTTACTGTTAGTAGAAAAAATGCATACCTCTCTTAGATGCTTGTCTCCAATATGGTAAGTCGACTTCCCCAATTGGTGGTTCTTCTCATCTAGTTGACCAATCACGGCAGAGGACGTGCTCTCGCGAACAAATCCTATCAGAGGGGCGTGCGGGGCAGGTGCTGGGATCACGGTAATCGACACTGCAGCGCGTGATGCCGTTCTGTTGGCGCAGATAATCTGTAAAGGGAGAAGAGATGAGGTCATTATAGTTCAACTATTAGCAAGTGTTCACCTCCATAAGCATACTGTAGTAGTTTCTTCTCAGACGTCCACATAGCGTAAGCGCTGCACCCTTTGATACACAAAAAGCCTAAAATGGATTTGAAATTGCGTTGAACATATGGAAAAATAGAAAATATTGTGAACTCACCTCCGCCCCATTACCTGGAACAATTTCCATATGGCAGTTGTCCGGCAGATGCAATCGGAAGTCATGTATTACCGTATCTACAGGCGTCGTTTTGCTAACATTGAAGACATAATCTTCCTTTTCGAAAAGTGGCGATGGAGCATCTCGGGTGATCATCAGAGTCAGATTGCAGCTGTAAACAAGCTTTGATAAAGTTCCTGTGAAAATTCAAGAAAACTGAGTATTTTAATTTTAAGCAATAAATGCTTCAAAGTTTTTCCTAAAGCGTAATAATTTGCAAATGTTCCTATTCCTCTTGAGGTCTTCTTTCTCTTCACTTTACTTCTATTTTGCCTTTCTTTTGCAAAAATATCAGTTCTGTTCGATGTTCAATGATAGACAGTTTTGAATAAAAATGCGGACTAAAAGAATGAAAATGTAAGCAGCTGGAGTAAATAAAAGTATTTCCTAGATAATGAGAAAGACGAAAATTTCTAGCAACAAATGGTAAGTAAATTTCCCAATCATTGTATTTTTGTTCCAGAATGTATTTGAATGTTTTATTTATTTATTTTATTCTATGTTCCTACTATCTTATGGTCTTTCTTCTCCAACTTTTTCCCTTCTTTTACATTCAACTGACAAACATTTTCAATAATGAAAATCAACATGAATTTTACTTACCTTTGCAAATCTCGTCCTCCAAATCTTGATTTTGCATGGATTTTCAGCACATCTCCTCGTAGACCATGTCCACCTTGCACCTTCACGTCCTTCGAATCCACCGACAACTGGTCATTTTGCTCGGCGAAAATCACATTCTCGAAAGATGCGACTATAGTGCCGTCCAGAGAATTTTCGCTGATCGTCGCATTCGTCTCCGAAATCTCCGGTTGCTTTGGTATCATATCCAGCAAATTCAATTTTACGGTTATTGATTGATTATCATCGGATACTGTCCAATTGATGGCTGCGGGTACGGTATCATTGATTTTGATGCAACCATGCTGAGCTGAAGTGGTGACGTTGGGACTGTCGGTAAAGAAGTCGAGGTCAGCAAGGGGTGTATCGATGTCAAAAATAGTAGGACAAACGACGTCGTTTGATGAGATGATCTGCAAATCAATAATTAGGAACACCAATCGATAATTGATCGATGGTGTAAGACAAAGCTAACCGCATAAGTAAGCTCCTTGTCTTCAATCATGGGTGGATTGTCATTCAGATCCAGTAAATCCACGACAATTTGAGCGCTGGCTAAATAAGAAACATTTGGACCGTGCTCCAAAGCCAAAACTTGACCCAATCAACCTACCGTTTCTCGGTGGTTGACCTCGATCCGTAGCCGTAACATTGTATACATAGCGCTTCTTCGCTTCGTAATCCAAAGCGCCAACCACGATAAGTGTTCCGTTTGCAAGAATTCGTAGAGGCACTTCGCTTTCAGACTGGATACGGTAGTGAATCTTCCCTGCCAGACCCACATCAGAGTCATTAGCGGTAACAACTCCTATGACATCGCCATCGTCTAGATCTTCCGACACAGCAAACCGCATTCTGTAATGGTAAGAAATCAAAAGAGAAAAATCAATATGTCGATTTCATACTTACATTTTCTCATTAAAATGTGGTGAGTGATTATTGCCGTGGCTCATTCTTAGCTTCAACTTTGTGATCATGGCTGTACCGTCTGCCATTTCGCTAATGAGGTACGTTGCAGTATCTCTGCTGTCAATGAGGTAATCCCGAGTGGCTACAAAGTAGCCCTCTGGGTCAATTCCCACATAGGAAGTTTCAGACAGGAATTGCCTTGTGGGATGCACAATCTGAAAAATCGATATATTGATTTTTTGATGGTAGAAAATTTTTTTGATGTCCGTATACCTTTTCGTTGACGTCATCGTTACAGCACTCAGCCAATCTGCTCAGACGAGTGCCATTGATGGTGCCTATGTTCACTGAGATTCCACACTCGGCCTTGCTTCCTGTTGGGAAGACTACCGTAACCACGGTGGTTGATGTCATCGCCTGCATGCCATTATCTTGAGCGGTAATGGTAGCCTAAAATTGTCACAACTCAGTAAAATTTTTGAGGGATTACGTAAACTTTTGAGAAAGTTTCTGATTGGCAAAAAATACATAAAAATTCATGAGAAAATAAAAATTTTTAAAATTGTGGAATATGTGGTCACCATTTGGTTGACTAAAAAAGAAATAACTTCTCAAAAAGCCGCTAAAACTTTTCTTTGTGAGACTGTTGTTTTTTTCCGACTTAAAAGAGCTATTCAGAAATTTGTTATGTTGGCAATTGACAGCGCTCCAGAGTCAGACTTACCGTAATCACACCTCTATGAGGTACGCAGAGCAATCGCAGATCGCCACTGATCACATCGATCGATAGACATCGTACATCTCTATCGAAACGATAATGCACGATTCCATTCATCCCTTCGTCTGCATCAGTGACTTGGACTTTCCCGATTGACTGGTAGACCTTTAAGGCGATCATTGGTTATTTTTTCGGGTTACGGTAACCTTCGCGCTTTGATTGGTCCATGTGCCACGGTGCTATCGCAGTTCATCCTATTGATTTTTCTGCTCACCTGCGATCTATTTACTATGAATACATATCGATCTTTCTCAAAGACGGGAGCATTATCATTGACGTCCAGAACAGTGATTGCTGCTCCTGTCTGTACTGCCCATGTACCATCGCTCACTCGAACACGAAGGCGATAGGAAGACTCCTACAAGGGCATAATTGTCAAAATCAATAAATCGATTCTTTAACTATTACCTTTTCTCGATCGAGTTTTTGCCGCAAGCTGATCTGCCCAGTATATTTATCGATTGTAAATGGTGTAAGCTCCTCATCATCGATGGAAAAGGTATGATTGACAGATTCATCCGGATCATTTGCCGAAATGAGCAGGATCGGAGCGCCAATCTAGAGTAAAAACAAGTGAACTTATCAATCAATATATCGATTAAATAGTTGTAGGCCAATTTTTCACCTCCAAATCCTCCCGAACATCAGCGTGGAAGAGGTGCGAGAACTTTGGAGCATTGTCATCTTCGTCCAAAACTTTTATCTAGATCAATCGATATATTGATCAATTGCTTATGTTGTCTTAGCTTGCCTTGACAATAGCCTCAGAACTTAATGGTGGTTTTCCATGGTCAGTGGCGATTACAGTCAACTTGTACTCTGACACAGATTCGCGATCTAGACTATGTGAAGACTGAATACAGCCTGTAGATGAATCGATTGTGAAGGCTCCCACAGAGTTTCCTGGAAGAAATTGATCGATAAAATCAACATATATGGGAGGGAGCAAGTAATCACTTTCAAAAATGGTGTAAGAGATCCTCGCATTTTCGCCCAAATCGGTGTCATTGGCAGAAACGCAGAGAATTTGCTGAGGGTCGGCATTTTCTTGGACCTCCACTGTGTAGATCACCTAAAACAAACAAACATGGGGTTAGAGGTAAACGGAGGGGATTGGAGGGGGGAGGGGGATGGGACTGAGTTATAATAGCAGCGCACCTTCTCGAACATGGGACAATTGTCGTTCACATCCTCCACTTCAATGTTGATAGACGTTATCGACGATTTTGGTGGAGTGTTTGAGTCTGTGGCAGCTATCCACAATCGATATATTGATCGCCGTTCTCGATCCAGTCCAGATCTAAATTTCTTCATTCACTCTCAATGCAAGTGCGATGGTCAACTTACCTAATCGATAATCGACCAGTGATCGGATCAATAACGAAGGATCCATCGTTGCCAGAAAGAATGGAATAGTTGATGTGATTGGAATCGTTGCCTGGAGACTCCGCTTGGAATCGGAACACCTCGCCAATCGTATTTTCGCTGATCTTCGTGTTGTTCAAGGTCGCCGTCCATCTGCAATCAATAATCGATTACTTTGATCGATCTCAACTGGTAAAGCTGCTCACCTAGGAAACTTCTGGTAATGGTCAACATAGAAGGTAAAGCTCGCACTAGTGTTCAAGCCTCCCACATCGAACACAGCTACCGTAATCGAATAGTACGCCTTGTTTTCGAGTGACGTCTGCAACTGCGAATTTTAAAGGGAAGTGACGAGAAAGTGGGGTAAAGTGACCTTCGCCAGAATTTCTCCATGTTCGTTTATGGTAAAATATCGAGCATCTGGTCCCGTGATGTTATAGAACAAACGAGAATCTTCGTCATTATCCGTGGCATCAACGACATGCACGACATCGCCTGAAGTTGGATTGTTGTTCATATCGACTTTTTTGCTTCTTGTCTCACCTTTCTTCAAATTATTTGGGACAAAAACATCGAGAAGTTTGTTTCGAATAACTGGATTATTATCATTGACATCATCGATCAATACAGTCAAGTTGGCTGTCGAAGAGTGTTGCTTGTACCTGAAGTATCCAAAATCAAGGAGAATAGATCGATGGGACAGAAACTTTTTAGATAAATCAAAAACTTCTGAGATACTTTTCCCAAAATTCACTAGTCCCTCAAGAACTTTCACAATAGTCAATTTTTTTAGAAGTCATAAAACTACTCTTTCTGGGCTCGCCTGTGGCATGCAGTTAATTATATGTGATCCTTTTTTTTTGAACAAGTTTAAAATTCTTTTCAGCATACTATTCAAGTTTGAAATTATGATAATTATTTTGATGTTAATTCTAATCCATCACTGAACTACTAAAAAGTTATAATAATTTTCTCATTCGCTAATTCCAAATAATTCTGTAAATTATGGCTTACTTTCCAGAATCCGACGCCTTTATGCTGATTTGGTATTTATCGGTAATTTCACGATCCAATTCACCAGCGATGGAGATTACTCCGGTAAGCTTGTTGATGGCAAATGGACTTTCACCGAGCAGCGCATAACTGCAAGGTAGAGTTACCGTAACTACTTATGAATCCCTCAACACAAAGTCAGATAAGGAACCTACCGTATAACTCCGTTCATTCCTTCGTCTCTGTCCACAGCTTTGACTTGCATAACTCTACCACCAATCTTGCTATTTTCTCGTACATGCACAATATAGTAAGGTTGGTCAAATTCTGGTGCATTGTCGTTGTCATCGAGGACGGTAACCTGCAGCAATTTTATACAGTCAATAACCGGTGAGGGGTAGATAGTTACCTTTATTTCGGTAATGGCCGAATGTCTAGGTGAACCGGAGTCTATAGCTTGGACGGTTATGAAGTGCTCAGTGTGTTCTTCTCGGTCGAGAGGTGCAAGAACAAGGAGGTCGCCTGAAAAGCAGAGATAACAACAATCGATTATCGATCGTTAATCAGTAAAATCCTTCAAACAAGATAATGAATGAAGAAGTGAATGGTACAGTACTGATATATATGGAAGTAGAATTTTTTGACCAATACCGTATTGATAAGAAACCCAGACATCGCAATTTACGTTAGTAAAATTTATCGATTAAGCGATTGATAGTATAATATAATTTTGAGATTTGAATGAACTTTTTATACGTGGAAAAATCCTCTTTATATAACTCTCATGGTAAATATGTTACTGGTCAAAATATTATTAAGATTACTGTACCTGTTGCAGAATTAATCGAAAAAAGACTGGTATTTCCATTGAAGATACTATAAGCCACGAGACCATTCTCTCCTTCATCTAGGTCCTGAACAGAAAACATTTTCTGGCATATTAGCACAATACAAAAATTCACGCCTACTTCCGAAATGGTGCTTCCGATCTTTGCCGGATAGGGACCTGGCAGATTCTCATACACTGAGAACTGTACAGGTGATCCACCCAAGAACCGTGGTGCTTCATCATTTTTATCGATTACTTGAACGGTTATTGATCTAAAATACTGATTTTTTATGGAACTACGGTGACAAATTATGGATTCGCTTACTTATATGACTTCGGGCCACCCCCGATGTTTCTAGCAGAAACGGTAATATTGTAAAGCGATTGAGTCTTAAAGTCTAATGGCGTTGTGAGGAACAGTTGTCCGCTGACTGGTGACACGTCAAAGATACCGTAGCCATCCTCTAATGCAAACACACTGGCAGAGTTTTCTATCTGAATAGAAGCTGTTTTAGAAAAAAGTAGACAGAAATATGTCAGTCAAAAATTAATGACGCATTTTTTTTGCGAAAACTATGCCTAAAATTCGGGTTGCTACCGTAATCTGATTTCTTATTGTATTTAGAATGATTTTCAAAACACTGCTTGCATGGTAAGTGTAATTCATAGAGTGCACTTTTTTTTTGTTTCCAAGAACTTACCGTATCTTCATCCGTCAAATTGAAGGTCACTATCGTTGAACCCCGCGGCACCACCTAAAGAATAAATACAAAAATCTTGTTGACAGAGGGGGAGGGGAAGGGCTAGGAGAGCATTGATTTCTCAAAAAATACCTCATCCACACTGACAACATCTTCGTTAGTACTGATCACTGGATTGTGGTCATTCACGTCCACGATATGCACAGTAATCTGTTGTTCTGTCTGCATTTGCGGACTACCATAATCCATGGCGACTACGGTAAATGTGTAGTTCTGACTTTTCTCAAAGTCCAGTGGTTTATTGACCTAAGAATATACTCGTAGCTTCGATGACAGCATAAGGGGGTGGCAATAAAAAAAATCTTGAATGAGGGGTGTCTTGGCACGACTTCGGAAAAAATCTTCAATTGCTAATTTGATTTTTCCAAAATTTGGGATACTGATTAAATTTGAAAGCAAGTCAGTCGCACATATGCAGTACATCTAAATACTTCGCGACCATTCTTGGTGTAGGAGGGAGAGGCTCGGTGCGCAATGGACGGGGATTACGGTAACCTACCATAATGTCGCCATGAACAGCATCGATGACAAACTCTGCAAATGGCAGCGTCTCAGGCACGATACGGTAGAAAACCTGCGCGTTGCGTCCTTCATCCACATCGATTGCTTTAGCTCTTCCTAAATTCAGTACTTGAAAAATATTCCATTTGTGCCAGTTGTCCAGTCTCACCTATAACCTTCATTCTAGGGCTGTTCTCCTCTACTAAAAACTCAGGTGCGGATACGAATGCAGGCGCGTTGTCATTCACATCACTTAAACGTATGATTACGGTACATTCGGTTGTGTGGTCTAAAAAATGGATGCGCCTTGAGAAGAAAATGATGGAATAGGTTTCGAAATGACTTACAAGGGTAAGGAGCTATTCCATCACTCAGCTGAACGGTAAGTCGATGTTCATTGATTTGTTCTCGATCCAACGGGCGCGAAACCTATATGTGCTATATTATTTGTGCGACCAGCTGGCTCAATCAGTCGATATATCGATTTTCCAAGAAAAAAATTCCGAGTTTTTGAAAGCAATATATATTTTGTTATTTCAAATTTCAAAGAATGGATATTGATAGAGAACGCTACAGCGTAGGCTCCGCCGGTATTATCCGCCACAAAACAGCCACCTCAATACATTATAATTCGTGTCAGTTGCCCTATTAGGGCATCTCGAAGGTGTCACATACTCTAATTTATGGAGACACGCTTCATTTTGGTATCCTAAACCACAAATGACGATTTCTAGAAAAATCGATAAGTACCGTAATCCGTCCTTCACGGTCGACGTCGAACTGGCCAAGTTCATTACCATCAACGATTGAGAGATGGAAAGCATTGTCTAGAAAGCAATACTCATGTCTCTTAATCAAGCAATACTTTATTGACAACCAAATCGGTAAAGGCCTGGATAATCAGGAAAAACTGCAGCTGACTCACTGAAATCCCTGTCGGACCATCGCAATTGCAAAAGTTCCTCTCCCACATCGACATTCTCCGAAACCTCAACTTCATAAATCTTCCTATCGAACTTCGGAATGTTGTCATTCTCATCGTCGATGAATAAAACCGCATCGCGATTAAGCATTTCACCAGATGTTAAGGTGGTTCTCAGCTTGAAGTTGTAGATTTGTTGCTAAAATTACAAAATAAGTCTATGCTTACTGGATTTAGCTGTTTTCATGACTCACCGTCTCATGATCGAATAACATAGCAGTTTTCAGTATACCAGTTTTGGAATCGATCGATAATCCGCTGTTGCCGATGACAGAATAGCTTACTGCTAAAGAAGTTAAACTTCGAATATTAATCCTACAAAGTTTAATCGGTAGCTTGCCTTTACCCTCATTCGTAGCAGGCATTTGTCCCACTATACTCCCATATGGTGCGTTCTCACGAATCCAGAACTCCAATCTATCGCTGTCATTTGGACGAGTTGTCTCGGTAGATGGTGGCAAGACAAAGATCTGAAGCAGTGCTCTGAGCAAATAGTATTCGCTTACGGTAGTTACCTCAACTTCGGTAGATACCCGCCCTTTCCAAACATGAGCTGTACAGTTGTAGAATGGAGCCTAAATACTCAATGAAGAAAATCTCTTTTTTAGCTTTTGGATCTTCAGTTTTGGAGGGAAATGAGCCTCTGCCAAGCCAAATTTTTCAAAATTTTGCTAAAAGGAATTTGCAAGACATTTTATTCCGAGCGGTTATATTATTTTTTGCATTTCGATGCTTTTGCTCTCAGCAATGTTTCAAAAATTGATCCTCAGCCGAAGCTTCTTTGACACTCAGCTTGCAAAGCCAAGCAAAATCGTACGACTTCTTTCCCTCATGTAGTTTTCATTTATATAAAAATTGAAGTGGATATAGCTTACCCCTTTGAAGTCCAAGGGTTTCTTCGAAAACAGTTCGGATCCACGAATGTAAAAATAAGGATCAGATAGGTCCATGCTGACATCGTCTCGACCAATATCAATCTTTCCTAGCGAATGCACCGCGGTTAGGGAGCTTGGAACAAACAGGAATTCCCTTCTAGGTAGAATTAGCTGATCCTCGATTAGCTCAATATTCACCTAAAATGGCGTTCTTTTCAAAAATTATCACAAATCGATTTCAAGGACACTTACTCTCACGCTAGCCACGCCTTTAGATGACACAGCTATAACTACTACCGTCTCATCCTTTATGGTTGTTCTTCTTGTCGATATAACCCCGGTTTCTTCATTGATCCTGATCAGGGACGACCCGGAGACATAATACTTCACGGGTAAAGCTGATTCCGCAGTGATTCGTCCGAGTTTCGTGCCAATCGGTTGCGATGACGTCATCAACATAGAAATATCCTTGGAAGGGAACGATATGCCGGCATCTCTGGTATTAGCGCGGATCACATGGACAAGAACAGTCTTGGTGCGTTTGGTAGTCTCACTGAAATCATTCATTTAATAACTATTCTTTGAAAGAAAAGTCGGAGCACTTACTTTCCGTCTGATATTTCCATGTATATGCTAGTGACCGGTTCCTTGAGTGAGGGTACTGTAAGACGCCCATCTCTGGTTATTGTAGCGTCCGGAGACGTCACGCGGTAGAATAAATTTGAGCTGTCGCCAGTGTCAGGATCTGCACACTTCAAGGGAATGGTGAGAGGTGCCGTATGTGCCAAAAACGTAGTGACGTCACAATCAGGATCATTGTCATTAACATCTTGGACATCGACGGTTAACAGTCGGGTCACCCTATAAATGAACAGTTAAAAGAGTGGGGGAAAGAGAAAGCCTTTTGGGCAAGAAATCGGTCTTACCTGTTGCTTCCAACCAGGATCTTGTAGCTGGACGAGTTCTCGCGATCCAATGGCGATACGAGGACGAGCTTCCGGTCCCGAACAGCAAACGCTGAAGTGCGTGGAACAGTCAATAAAACTTTGTAGTCGTCTCCCAACTCAGTGATCATACTGGTCACTGTATTTTCCTAAAAAGTTTCTCTTTGATAGCTGATTTTCTCTTTGAACTCAAGGAAATGTTACCTCAACCCAGAAAGTCTCTTCGCTTTTCGGAACATCCGAATCCGAAGTGATCAGCACCTTCATTAGGGCCGTTGCATTTCGAAACGGTGTTGACGCTGTCACGACCACCTCCTGACTGGGAGAGTACCCCACAGGTGCCGTCAAGATGACATTTCCCCAGGAATCGACATCGAAGCGATGGTCCGAGATATGGTATTTGATCACATGGGAGCCAGCCATGGCTCGTACTTTCCCTACCAAAGATCCAATGGAGGCAGTGGAGGGGATTCTGACAAAAAAATCAAATTTTTCTACTTGTAGATTGTGAAGCTGATATCATCTTTATCTGTGGAGAAATCGTAGAGCTATGAAACTGCCAAGATTATACCCTTTGCGAGCGCACCAACCAGGTCCTCGAGGGGTATCCGCTCGGAAAGAGTACGGTTTGGGCAAGAGTTTCGGATTGACTTACTCGGACCCAAAATCAAAGAAAATAGCTCATTAAGGAATGTTTCATTTTAATGATTCTGGATTACGTATCGAAACGAAATTGCTGAAATCGCGGTAATGCAAGCGTCAAAAATCAAATCAAATTACCTTAAAGGTTCCATCATCTTGTCAAAGACTGGATATAAATCATTATCAGAACCAGTTATCACGATCAAAAATGTCTCTGCTCGTTTCCTATCCTGATCCTCAGCTGCTATAGAGATGTTATACCTCGAATCACTTCGTAGCTTTCCTTTTCTCGAAACTTCCCCCAAAGTTTGGTTGATCTGTAAAGAAGGAAATTATGCTAAAGTTAAGCTGAAAAAAAAAGATAGCTCACCTCAAATAAGTGATGATAATTCAGCAATCGATAAGTAACTTTGTCGTTGATGTCTTTGTCAATAGCCTTTACAGCCATGATGGTCCGATTTTCTATGGGGTTATTTACGTTGACATCTACGCTATAGAAGAGTTGTTCGAATGTGGGTGAGTTGTCATTGACATCGGCTATTTCTATTGTTGCATTGCAGATCGCAGTATTTTGAGGGGAACCTGAAGCACATTAGTTTTTATTTCATAATTCTGTCTGGTACGGGAAAGTAAATGGACTAACCGTGGTCGAATACTTCATATTTGAAGTCAACCTTCCTCAGCGATTCGGCGTCGAAAACAGTAGCAGTAGTGATCTGAAGAGTACAAAATAGTGTAACCAGCGCATTGTAGTTGTTCGCAACATATAAATAGCTTTTTCTGAAATTTCTTCAAAATAAGGTTTTTCTGGTTTTCAGAAAAGAATTTCAAGCGTTCACACGATCAGGGTGTTTTCATAGCTACCAAAGAAGATCTGCTTAAAATCGAATTTGAACCTTTCCATGTTTACAATTCTATCTTTTTGAAAATCTACAAAGAGACTACGATCAGTTAGGGGAAAATGGAATTTGAAAAAAATACAACTCATAATCAAACGTAACTACTAGTTTAGTCATGATTAGCGAAAGAAAACGAGAATGAAGAGCAATTCAGATATTTTCTGGAGTTTTTTGACCGTGAGCAATGTTTTCGATATTGATATGTATAGACAGCAGTGGCGTACCCAGGATTTCGGCTCGGGGGGGGGGGGGGCGCGACAAAACTTTTTTTCTAAAGAAGGTGCGTGGCGTTAGTCACGCACTCCGAAAAAATTTTGGGGGTGCTTCCCAAAATTTTTTCGGATCCCCGACCCCTAAAATCTGGAAAAAGGGGGCGTGGCGTCAGCCACGCCCCCGAAAATTTTTTTTTACAAGGCTAATTTGAATTTTTAAAAATTTTTAAAAATTATTTTAATTAGTTACAAAAATAAACAAGTCACTTACACAATTTTATAACTCACATAAGTATCTTTCAATAATTTCGCGACCCATTCTCGGGGGGGCGCGCGCCCCCCCCCCGCCCCCCCCCCCCTCGGTACGCCACTGATAGACAGGTATTGTACTTTTGCTCCTCTTCAAACCAATTTTTTTTAACTTGAAATTTGAAATTTGAAATTTTGCTTGACTTACCCTCCCCGTAGCGAATCCAATATGCAGCAGGTTTTGGTTGTCTATTAGTCTATATCCAAGCACACCATTTAATCCAGTATCCTCATCTGTTGCGTTCAAAAATCCCACGGTAGTCCCAATTCCCATATTCTCCTTCACGGTGAAGTGAGCTTGCTCAGAACATTTTGGGACATGGTCATTGACGTCATCGACATAGACATGAATCAGAGTGGAGTAAGTATTGTTATGAATCCTGAAATACTAGTTTATCTCCGTTTATACGGTTGTTTGGTACGGTGGAGAGCTACACCTGTGAGTGGCCGTGATCGGTACGGTAATGACATCGGCAGCTGTACGAGTTATTGCCTTCCTCACATAAACGGTCCCATCCGGAAACACTCCAACATAAGTGTCAAAGTTAGCTTCGAACACATAGTTCGAATCCGTGCTCAACGTTGTAAGCTCTGCCCCTGGACGAGTTCCCTCTTTCACATGCAGATTATAGGAAGCATTCAGTTGTAGGGGCTAAAATGCGCAAATTGAAACTTGTACGCACCATCTATTCGATATATCGATTACCTTCTTCGAGGTCTCCATTGTGAGCAGCAAATTGACAGTATCCTTTGCTCCCTTAGTATCCTGAGCTTCTACTGCACACTGGACACCATCAATCGATTTATCGATCAGCTCCTTGATAGATAACACTCCATTGCTGTCCACTCTTAACCAACGGCAATCAGTTTTGAAGTCGCTTTTTGTACCAGGATCAACCTAAATGCCTTTATTTTTCGAGTCAATCGATAACTCGATAAAAAAACAGTATCTACCTTCAAGATTTCCATTCCCAGCGGAGCATCCCTGGCCAATTTCATGGTCATCGCCTTTTTAGGAAATGTAGGCGGACGAGGATCTCGCTTGATCCGCAAATGGATGCACTTGCTTATGGCAGTATTGTTGGACTCAGCAATCAATACTACATGAAATTGATCAATATCGATCGGTAGCGAAGAAGCCACAGTAAGTTTGCCCTGATGATCGATGCTCAGGAGTCGTGAAGTCACTTTCAGCGAAGATGGTAAGGTCTGAAGAGTTACAGTAAGATTCTGTTTATAAATTTCGGATTCTCCAATCGATATATTGATTTTTGATTGGCATAAATAATCGATATATCAATCACATTCATCATGTTGTCAACGATAATAGTCATTATCACTCAATAGATCTCTTTCAATGCATCTGAAAACTTACAGTTTTGTATGTACCCAGCACTTCGCCAACCCTAGCGCTAGCATTCACATCAATCGTGTCAGGACCCTCCGACCATTGCAGGACGTTACTTTTACTTGTATAAAGTGTAACAGTAGCATTGTTTGTGGACGTAACACCATTGCCGTCCATAGCTCCAATGCGAGTCTAAGAATATTCGTTTACCCAAAGTCCTGGTTGAATCAATCAATAATCGATTGTCTTACCTTGTACACCTTATCCTGCAAACTCTCAGTAGTTCTAATCTCTCCTGTAGTCCGATCAATGGAAAAGCCAGTGATTGCATCCAATAAAGCATAGTGAACTCGTCCAGCTACACCAGAGTCACGGTCCACAGCGGATATTTTAGCGACTACCGTACCCGGTGGTGCGTTTAGAGGTAGGACAGCATGTGTTGCAGGACATTGGAACTCCGGCGAGTTGTCGTTGACGTCCTATAATGGCCAAGATTTGCGAATCCCTAGGGCGAGGAAGAGAGGAAGAGGGGGAGAGGGGAAGGGGGAGGGGGGAGGCAGTATTCCCTAGAACCGTACTTACCAAGACAATAATGGGAAGATCGACCTCAGAGCACAAATTTGGCGAACCACGGTCACATGCTTCAATCTCTGCGTCAAATTGCCGAATCTCCTCAAAATCTAGAGCTTTCTTCAATGTGAGTTTTCCAGATCGATTATCGATTGATAGGTAGTTGGAGCCAGGACTGTCGATCAATCGATAAGAAACGAGCGCATTTTCGCCACGATCCTAAAAAAACCCATTTTTGTTCTCTGATTCAAAAGACGAAATGCTCAGAGCTAAAATGATCAAACACGCAACGCTAAGGACGGTTATAAAATTGACCAATCAGAGAGCTCTACGGTATCCAGTGGTAGCTGTAAATCTGGCCAATCAGGGAGCTGTACAGTATACTCAGTGGCACTCTGTGATTGGACGACTACTACCTATCGCTATGTATCTTCTGCACAAAACTTGGATGACTGCTCTTGAACTTACTTTATCCAGAGCCTTCACCATCAAGACAGTGCTCCCCACTCGCGTATCCTCAGAAATCGATAATCGATCTGGTAGATCAACAAATGTTGGCGCATGATCATTGACGTCCGTGATGGTTACGGTAACCGTTGACGTCATCGGTTGAATGCTTGGTGGCGGAAGTTGCACCATCACTTCAAGTGTGTATGTGGAAGCATTGTTTATGTCCAGGTTAGAGGTAGTGGTTATGATCCCTAGAAATCAACAATCGATCGATCAGTAAGGTGATTGAAGGTGATAGAATGTCTTACCGCTTGACTCGTCCACATGGAAAGGTGCTGTACCAGAAAGGAAAAAACGACACTCGGACGAGTTTGTATGCACTTGGGTAACAAAGCTACCCACGGGGGAGTTTTCCGGCAACGATACTGCCAGATTTTTCTCTACCATGACAGGAAAAGCTGTCAACTTCGCTTCGTTATAGACCTGTAAGATTTTTGCTTTCGGTTTTTTCCCAAACTTGAAAATTTCCAAAGCATGATTAAATTGAAAAAGCGTGGGTATTTAGCATTTAGATCATCAACATCCAAGAAGTTCAAAAGTTCATAATTTATGTACCTTCAAGAGTCTCCTCATCATCCTTGGTGGCGTTTGCCCGTCTTTGGCCAAAAAGTGTAGATCAAATTCCGAGCGATCAATATTGTCAGCGTTTTTAGCTAATTTTAATATAGAAAATTGTCTTTGTACAATGAGATCAAATACGCTATCCTCGTTTCCTGATTCGATTGAGATCGGTGATGGATCTAAACCGGCAGGTATATACTCAATGTGATAGATGCTAAGTTCTCGCAGTATGACTTACCCAATAATGGCCCATCTTCATCGGTTACAGTAAGAACTGCTACTGCTTTACCCGCCAAAGCCCCAGTTTCTATCAATGCAAAGTCAACAGTTGAAGGATGTAGCCTGAAAAAAAAACAAAATAAGAAAATTTGAACTCAGGAAACTCGGGAGTATAATTTTGAAATTCTGTATTATGGTAAGTATAAACTTTTTGGTACAAATCCGCCCATCCTCATCGCGGAAAATGTTTGTAAGAACTGATAGTTCCATGATTGGAATGGACTACAATACAGTACATATGTATATGAGACTTTGTTTTTTTTAAACATGGAAAGCAGGAGATAATTGTCTCACTCAGAAATATCAATATCTACCCACTATGAATATTCCATTGGCTTTCTGTTCAGGAATTTTCAAAAAATGTTCTGGCCGGTTTTTTGTATAACTAATCCCATCAAGGCGCCTACTTTCATGAATAACATCAATTCGAATTCTTAGCTGCTTGAGTTGTAGTAAAGTGTTATGGTAAATGATTCCTACCAATTTTTTTAATAATCCTTCAAATGGCATTTTATATTGCATCAAACATACGTTGAATATCTTTATTTTTAAGCCGTACCATGACTTAGCTTTAAAGAAATTTATAGAAAACCCACCTTATGGTGATTTGCGGATCATGCAAATTCTCTGTGGTAAGCAAAACTTTGAGCAGAGCTGTGCTTTCCAACGGGGGTATCCCTCGATCTGTAGCTTTGATGGAGACGAAACACTCAGAACATGGTGGTGAAGCACAGCAAGGTGGATTGTCTTTCTGTAATCAGCAGGGAATTTGCATATGTCGAGACTATTCGAAAAAATTTTACTGATATGAATTTCCCCTTTTCACAGATTTTCCCCCATACATTCCATTTATGGTATCACTTTTTCCTCCACACATCAACGGCGCTGATCAAAGACATTGCTAAGCGAAACGTAACGATCGTATTAGCCGTGTACGCATCGTTCAGTGAAAATTTCCGAAATGAGCTGTGACGCGCACACTCAAGGACATTTAGGGTCATATCGAGTGAAAACCTGATTTGAAAATGAAAACGAGACAAATGTTTTCGATTTTGGCTCGTTTTTCCCTTATAGAAGCTGCAAACCCGCAAAAATATTTTGCAAAAGCCCTAGCGATTCTCTGGGGTGAAACATTCTTATGATACGACTGAGGTAAAGGCCCTCTTTCTTACATCTTTTTCGCAATTCTCTCCTTCTTTCCATTTTTTTTTGGGGAACCTCTATTTTTATATGGAGCTAGCAGCAAGCATTGTTTTCCTTCCAAAGAAATCTCACCGAAAGATCTCGTACGCACCAGCAAGGCTGTCACATAAATCTGCTTACTGCTCATTGATGGTCAACAAAAAACCAGAGCATCTGGTCAATGGGGGAGGGTGGAATAGGATGGGGGTTTGGGAAGCAAACCGGTCGAGGGGAGATATTTGTGGAAACTCCAATGGAACTGATGCGTCCACAACCTCGATATCAGTGCCCGAAATATTGTGGCAAAAATTAAAAAAATCTGCACGGAAAATTGCGGACGGGATTTTGTTAGTTGAAAATTTCAAAAACCCGAAGGCTCATACCACTCCTAAGTGTGCCGCATCACCATGTAATCGAAGACTCCGCATGCCATTCCTGTTTATGGGACCATGAAACAGGAATTTTTGAGAAAATGGAGTTTTTGCAAAAAATTTTGTTATTTCGGGATTTTCATTTTTGAACCGTTTCTCGCCTCTGTAGTTGCATTTCTAGAAGTTATCGAAAATTTTCTAGTAATTTCAAATTATTTTTTCCTTCCCCTATGCCTCTGGAGCTCCATCAAGAAGTCCGGAAAATATTTACTTCTTACCTAGAAATTTTTTGAGACGTTCATTACCATAAATTCGTATATATATTCATCAATAGCGGTTCAAAAAAAAAATTCCGGGAGGAAGGAGGGGGGAGGGGAGGGGGGGGGGAGGGAAGGGAGGGCAATCGAAGACAAAAATTTTTCGAAGATGGTAGTAATTATGCCTTTAGAAATAAAATTTTGGAAAGCTTTCCAGTTTTTTTCGGGCTTATAATATTGAAATTTGGAAAAAGGGTGTGATCCAACTTTCAAGCTGTTTTTTACAAAGTTAATTTGAGTTTCTATGGTTTTTGAAAAAATAAATTATTTGTAAGTGAAAACAATTCATCTTTACAAGTTTATGACTCTGCAGGTAATACCTGAAATTTGAAAAAAAATTGAAATTCAAGTCTTATAAAGCAACCCATTCTTGAAAGTGGGGGGTGGGGGCGGGGAGGGAATGGAGGAGGAATAGAGGCAATATTTGTTCATTTCCAATTTCTACCTTACACCATCCCTACATTCAAATTTTATGTACAATTACCATGACATAAAAGTGCACGCGAGCACTTAATCTTCCCAAGGACAGCCCCAACTCGTTCAAAACTTGGCTCATTGCCAAACTTTTCCTTTTCCGCCCCACAAAACGAATGCCGCCTTTTATTACCAGACAATACTCGTCTTTTTCTACACATGCGCTGGTTTGTTTGAACAGACACCAATACCGTATACGGTAACATGGTACACAAGTGGGTGATCCACATGTGATCGCACATACACAAGGTCAGAGACAGCTTGTCCATGCGCGTCCGGTCCCGCGGTGATGAGGTCAAACACAGCTGCACCCAAGAGATAGTGCGCCGAATGAGGAGACGCAGACATTCGGGTTTGGGTACTTTTAATACCTCATTGGGTACGCGCGACAGCGTGTTATTATGCATACTAACGCGCGAACACCCCGTGAGGTCAACAACTTGTTTCGAAATTGATTATGAATCAATAGAGAGGGTCCTGGCGCGAAAAGTGCTCCTCACCTGTGCAAATACTTGACTGCCTTCTATTCGGAAGTGTTCGCGTTCAACACCAGGTATACTATAGATGATCTCGCCATTTCGACCATGGTCCGCGTCAGTCGCGTTTAAGGTAAAAATTGGAGTGCCAGCAAGCCCTGAATGTGAATTACTCATTAAGCGATGAAATCAATAATCCAGTGAATTTCTATTTACCATTCCATTTCGCCTCAATCTCACGGCTAGAAAATGTTGGTGCATTATCGTTGACATCTAAGATTTCCACGTAGATGGTGGTATAACTCGTCCTGAAGTACTTGTTATGAAGTTACGGTTGTAAATATGTTAGCTCATAGAAGCTCATATTTAGGAATTCGGACGACTGTCACAAAAAAATAATTTCAGCAATCTGCGATGTGTACGTTTGCTACCCATATTGCTAACTTTGGAGGACCAAGTGGTACGAAGAATTCTCTTGCAAACTTGGCTCGGAGTGGCGGTCCTTTGGTCACAAAATCAAAAACTTCAAATTTAGGGACCAGCAAATTCTGCCAGTGATGGAATTTTCATATCTGATTGGGATTAAAAAGTTGAACCTCACAAATTTCAGAAAGTGATCCGCTCATGTAACTGAACTAATCCTTTCACCAAATCCTTCCTTTTCCATTCTATCCCACGTTCGAATCGAGGATACCGAATGCTGACTCTTATATAAATTGTGAGAAACGGGAAATTTCGATTTGTAAAATGAAACTCGAAAAATTCCAACAAATCTATTAGGTTGGTGCAAAAGTTTTGTCAGGTGTTTCAATCCATCATCAAACACGCTAGAATGAAGATAAATAAAAACTTTAAGGTGTATCCGATGCAGAATTTCTTACTCTTTCCAGCTACTAAACTCTCATTCTGTTTTGTTGCGAGATTGACGAGATATTTGCTGGAAATTACAACTACTCGTTTTTACCATGTCCAAATTTCGCTAATTTTAAAAATTTTTATATGAGACTTTCGGAGGAGCCCTAATAACTAGCAGATAGGGCAAACCTTTTGCCAACAGAAGCAATTTTTATAGCCCTACAGCTTGTCTTTCAGAATTTCTACGATTTATTTTTTGAAGTGACCAAACTATATATTCAGCCTATTTTGACCTCGTAGAACATAAAATCTCAAGCACTTCAGTCACCGTTCGATGCAGATTTTTCTCCTCTTTCTACTACTTGTCTTTTTTTTGCCGAGAGAGGCAAAATTTGTGGGGAAAACCGCAGTTTTTCCCAATTTCAGCAGTGCGCACTGAAGTAACCCATGTCCCAAAAATCATCGTAATTTGAAGCAAAAATCGCTCATTTACTTTGTAATGGTAGCGGCAGTAACAATCGTGTGTTGAAACTTCAGTTTTCTATAGGTTTTATAGTGTTTGGTGCAATAACAGTTTATGCGATTTTTCCAAAACACAATACTTAGAAAATTATTTAGCAAAAATCTGAAAAAGCAGCTGAAAAAAAGAAAAAAAATTGCTGCTGTTGGCAAAAGGTTTGCTCTATCTTGTTGTTATTAAGGTTCTTCCGAAAATCTCATGCAAAAATTTTGAGAATTAGTGAAAGTTGGACATGGTAAATGAGTGGTTGTAATTTCCGGCAAATATCTCGTCACTTTCGCAACAAAACACAATGGGAGTTTAGAAGATGGAAAGAGAAAGAAATTCTGCCTCAGAAACATTTTGAAATGTTTGTTTATCTTCATTCTAGCGTGTTTGATGATGGATTGAAAAAACTGACAAAACTTTTGCGCCAACCTATTACATTATTTGCAAAATTTGGTTGTATCACCTTTATCATAAAACATTTTCTTATTTATGCAGAAAAAAATTGAACGGTATTTATTTCTATTTTTCAAAAAATTTTGAGAGGGTTATCAATTATCATCAACTATGTTTTTATATTTCAGCTTTCATTTAGACCCCGGTACAGAAAAAGAAAAGAATTAAAGGAAATTAAAAATGGAAAAAATCGCCATATAGAGTTTAGATATAATTTATTATTTTTGTTATCGCCCATTATTATTATTATTAATATTATCGAGGACTAACAAAGGATGTTCTAGCACAAATAACATTTTGCCTTGGAAATGGGCATTAAGAATCGATAAGAAAAAGCTACACGAAAATCATTTGGAACCTAAACTTTTTCAAAAAAAGCTGAAATTATTTGAAAAAACAAGATTAAGAAACATGATCAAATTCTATTAGGCGCCAAATTTTCATTAGCAATTTTGTTCACCTATTTTCCACATTTTCGCTTTTTGTCAAAGTCTTTTGACAAATCGGTCCAGTAAAAAGTGGTTTTGCCTCCGCTCACGCAAAAATGCACTTCTTCTCGCTAGCTGATTGTATCTTACGGACAAAAAGCCGTCAATTCAATTGCGTTTTGTCTCATCGCTCATCTCAAGCGTGCCAAAATAGCTGCGCGGACAATTCCTTGGCGATTTCGTATAAAAAATCGAGCAGTGCAACTTTCGAAGGTCAGGCAGTGACGTCATTCGGGAGGAAAATTCGAATCTTGAGAGATTTTCCAGGTAATCGTCTAGGTTAGAGATCATGTTACATAATCATACATCCTTACCTAGTGACCCGTCTACCTACCGTAATCCGCTAATCCCAAAATCGCTATTGTGCCCCTGTACGTGTGTATTTACCTAAGTCTTAAGATCCCATCCGCGTTTTTACAGCTCTATTTTGCGATAAACCCCTTCCTATACCTCCCCATACCCATATATAACCTTGAGACAAATTACTGGCGATCAATTCTTTGTGACAGTTGTCCACGCCACACCTCACATGTTCTCACATTAACCAACCTGGCAGGTACACCACCATCTCGTGCCGAGATGTTCATCACAACCAGTTGCTTAGATTCACGATCCAGTGCTTGGCGAACTTCCAAATACAGTAATCCGCTACCGTCGTAGATCAAATCGAACTCTTCGACTGGGTTTTCGATACGGTAATCGACTACCGTACCATTTAGGCCGGCATCGCGATCCGTAGCCGGAAGTAAGGGGATACGCGTGCCGATCGCACTCGATTCAACAATGGAAACATTCTGAAATGATTGATTTTTTTATTTTTTGCAAAAAACGTCACTTTCCCATTTTGGCTTTTCTATATGATTCGGCCATATTTACAATTCTTTTCAATCCAGTTAATCGCCCTGCGCACTTGAAATTTAGGTCTCGCAACGATTCTTATAAAACATTCTCGGCCTACTTTTTTGACTGGTTGTATGCGCAATCATAATAGTCTTTGCACTTATAGAGACTAAAACCACTAATAGCCAGAATAAAGGCAACTCGCGCGCAATCGCGATCCGCAGCAAAAAATCCGTAATCTCGTAAGTTGCGTATTTTCAATACGTATGTTGTATGTAATCGCGTTCTCGTACATTGTGGTTACGAAAAGAAGAAGTGAAAGAAAATTGCGCAATCAACGGAGCAAACGGAGCGAGGAGGTGGTAAGCATAAATAGAGGATAAAGAAAAGTCAAGAATAAGGTAAAGTAAAGGGAAAAACTAAACTGTTATTCAGTCACTATTAATCAATCGTCAGCGTTTAATTATGGTATATGATCAAAATCAAGGTAAATGATGATGAGTTAGCCATTACATCTTGCATTTACTACAATTTGTAATTTTGTTATGTACACTAAGAATTTGCTAACAGAGAGCTGCCGGACTGCTAAAAATACAAATAAAGCAAATTTTCAAAAACTCAGTCGCGATACCGATTTGAAATATACACAAACGACAAAATGGATTGGTCAGGAACGGAAAAGTGAGGTCCGTTGTTAATATGCAGATGCATAAAGGAGAGCAGAGAGGGCTTAGCATTATTGACAGAAGACAGTAGATAGTTTACTAATGAATAACTATGATTTATATTAAACCAGTCTTTCAGAAAGCTTTCCATAAATTCTTTCTTTAGATCAGCGAGATGAAAAACTTAGTCAAAGCAGATGCAAGATTATGACTTTCAAAGTCACTATATAAAAAAGGTAATGAAAAGTTGCAAAACTGAAGTTGCCCTAGTTTAGTACAAAATGTGCATATGAAAATGAAGCAGATGAAAAAATGGGAAAGATTGGGAAAAAATCACAAGATATGATTGAGAAATTCACTTTGCGTGAGTGGTAGCGAAAAGATTGCAAGACACTATTTAACGAAAAGGCTTAACATGGCTCACAGAAATGACGCAAATGAAAAGAAAAATTTTGTGCATGCAAAAAAGATGCGAATAAACTCAAGGATACGGAAGATGATCTTGTAGATGGATGGTTAGTTTTACTGACCTGGAATGGTACCGGAAATTCCGGCGCATTGTCATTGATATCCAACACTTTGACAACGACATGAATAATAGACGGAGGAGTTGAAACCAAAAGTAGATCAACGCTGCCATTGGTTTTCTCGCGATCCAACGGTGCTCGGAGGGTAATCTAGAATCAAATTCATTTGTATTTCTGTTGCTAAATGTTACCCTACCCATCTGGCTTACCCATCCAGCTGCGTTGAAGTCAAAGTAGTTATTGACACCGGAGACCCTGTAGGTGAATCCAGGGGTTAGTGACACGCGCCCAACTCTTGTGCCGACGGGTGCTTCTGGAATATTCCAATTGAATCAAAGACACTTTTGTAAGCGAAAACCGAATTAGAATGTCGAAAAAATTGGGAAAAAAACTTTGCTGTTTGCTTCAATTCTAAAAGTGTTGCACTTTAAATAGTGATATGAATAAATAAATAAATAAAATTTATATGGAAAAATGTGTCATCAAAACTTTGTTTCAGGTAGTAATCTGTATTCACTCAACTACAATATCTATACGCAAATTGATTCAGTTGCTTCTCCAGTAATTCGGAATAAAAACTGAGTGGCGCGGCTTGCGGCAGTGTCGTGCGCATGCCGCGGATATATCTTAGTAATGCCTATTTCCTCGATTTTCTTTTCTCAATAAATCTTTTCTTTATTTATGTGACAACTCTGACCCTGGAACACTACAGTAATCCCACATAAGTTTAAAAAGAAAGATTTCTTCTGCAATTTGCTTCAAAATTCACTTCTGCTTTTCAAAAAATTAGAAATCCTTTTTATCCTTAGCAGTTTTCAACCTTGATACTACACTTATCCTATGGTAATCCTACATTGTTTCCCTTTACATCATCCTACCACCCTCTTCTGCTCTAAAACGAGTAGAATTCTATCGATTCCGTTGCATAACCCCAGCAGGCGGTTTTTTCAAAGCTAGGTCCGCAATTACACTGTTTTAGCCTGGCCGATCCAGCTAGCATTGCGCACACAAGGTAAGCACAACAGATTTCTTGTTTTGTTCCACGAAAGTTTTTCCTTGTATGGAGAAGGTGTCTATGTGCTAGGGAATGTATAATTAAAAGACATGGACCGGCTTCTACCTCACACCTCCAGGGACTGGATCCGTGGGGTGGCGCGCGTCCGACGATGTACGTACGGGCAATTTGCCGGCTATTGGTGCAAACATCGAAAACATGCCATAGAATAGGGCGCGCGTATGTGGTCGGGTTGGGGAAGGAGGGCGGGCGGAAAGAGATAAAAATTTCTTTTTTTCGGAAGTATAGTTTTTGCCTCAATACTTCGCGTTTTGCATCGAAAAATGATAACAAAATTTCGCGCGGTGGGCGGGGCTGTCAACGTGCCAGCTGGTTGACAGCCCCGCCCACCAATCAATATAACTGCTAAAAATCCAATTCCACATCTGTGAACGTGCGTGGAAAACGTGCATACGCTTGAACACATCAACATGACCTCGAAAAACCACGGACGATGTCCGCTGACCATCAAAACCACACATCCATACCATATGCGCGACGGCGATGAGTGACAACTGTAACTACCGGAACAAATGACGCGCTCTATTTTAAAAAAGCTAACAAGTTGTACAAGTTGTTCACATGAGGATCAGTTGTCCTTATCCAAGGTCACAAAGGGTAAATGCACTTTTAGGGCGGGTTGTACGCTTGAGAGGTCATGTTAGGACCAGTTGTCTGCACGCTCAGCGGTCACACATGAATTATTTCTGCACTTTATCAAAATTTGCGTGCAATTATGATATGGTCCGCAAATGCACTTTTCTGAAGCACAGAATTCAGCGAGAGTAACAACGGGGAAACGAAAATATGAAAATATCATGCTGAAGAACAACAGAAAAGCTTGAAAATAACAATCGTGCCGCAATTTGCAAGGAAGAAGGAGGTGGATCAGATGGCAAAATGCGGCGTACTATACCGCTCAAATTTTTAAAAATAGACGCGAATGTATGGACATGTATGGACATGTACGGACATGTCCATACATGTATGGAAAAAAATGTGAGCGGTACTGTAGTTTTTAGTATCAGACGTTACTAAATGGTTGCAAAGAATTTTTACTCATAGAGGATTATCATTAGATAAATTAGATAGTTTACTGCAACTTGAAAGTATCAACTGTGCCGCAGGCGAAGAGGTGGGTAGAATAACAAACTGCGGCGCGATTGTTACAAAAAATTCATTGTTACATCTCAAAATTCTATGTCTTGAGCATTTTATAGAAATGGTAAATATATCAAAGAACAGTAACATAATAGCTCACAGAAAATTTTTTCAAGAAATCTTACACCATCAGAAAATTTATGACCAAAAATCCCATAACGTCTTTCCCTTCGTTCACCCTTTCGTACCCCCCCCCCTTCTCTCCCACAAATACCCGTTTACCGTGCCTAATGTGAATTAAAACACGTTCCTTAACGTCTTTGTTTTTTGTTAATCCGAAAGATCTGCTAACCGCTCAACAAAAATCCTTCAAAAAAGACATAAATTATTTTTCTAACGAAAATGCGTGATGAAATCAATCAAAGCAAAGCTGTAAACAAATGAACAATAAAACAGCCAACCTTCAGAAATTTCAAAGGCCTCCTTTGTCTCGTAAAATTCTGCATTTATGTAAGCAATAAGTCGATAATAGAATATAACTAGTGATAGAAATAACATTGATCATCTAGACTGCATCTATGTAGTTCCAACTCTGCAAAGGTAATCGATAAAATCGATAATTGATAGCATCTTTGCAGGACGCAGAAAATGCGCACCCACAATGTGAGGATGAATTCAAATTAGCACGATCAGACAATGTGCGAGGACAGAGATTTGAGGTTTGTGGGCGGAGCCGCAACGGACAGCGGAACAATGTGTGGAATGAGGGAAGAGGGAAAAAACACTCTTCCGGTCAGTGTGAGAGGAAGGAGATGCGCTAATTTTCCAGAAAAATTCTGGCATGAAACAGGTGAGAAAGAGTATTACGACAAAATTTTGAAACAAGCGATAAAATATGTTTTCATTTTACCAAAAAATCAAAGGAAGTAAACGAACTAAAAAGTGCGGCAAATTTAATGATTATCTCATTTAATGCAAAACGTAATTTCTTTTCCCTTATTCACAAAACTTGGTAGAGGGTGTCAACAACGAAAGATAAAAATCAAGAGAAGAACCAAAGAGGATGAAGCATAAAGTTGACATCCAATAATTATCTTGCAGCTTTCTACTGTTTCCTCACAGAATCTAATTGAATTTTATCTACTGAGTAGTAAAAGTATCTTGCTAGTGAAGGTTCCCGTATATGTAGAAAAGATTTCTAGACGTGAAAAACCCTAACTTATTTTTGGCAAAGCTCCAATTTTTCATATGACAGTAGGATAGGTAGAGGATTATATGAACTTATACACATATAGGCATAAGATAGAAAGTCCTACTCTTTGGTCTGAATGCAAAAAAAAGTTGCATCTCTGAGTACGATTTACACCAAGAGATTAAAGATAGACATCGAATGTTTTAAAATAAGAAGTGTTGGAGTGGATGTGGAGTGGAAAATAAGATAACTGTGTTTGGATTCACAAAACAATTAATGGTACAACACGCTGAGGGCTCTGTGGCAAGAGGAGAGAGAAAACCTAGCCATAATGCCAAGTTATTGCCAGCTTACTGCGCAGGCTAGTTTGGTAAAGTCAGCACTCAAAGTAAAGCTTAGTTCAATTCTTTTGCAGAAGATTGGGTATCTAATAATGGGAAGATGATGGACGTGAATAAAAAAAAACAAGAAGGATATTCATTCATTTGTTTATGTTGTTCGTGTTGCATAAGGAAGCCCTTCTACATATGAATAAAGAAAATTATCAAAAATATTCAAATGCGTCAAATTGTCTGTAAAATGTGTTAAATTATTGATAAATTGATATTTAAGTCTCTTTATTCGCGTTGTGTAGAAAACGGTACCAATTAGCACCCTTAGAAAAGCAGAAAATCGATAATTAACAGTTTTGATAAAAGTTAAAACGCTAGATTGCTATTTCTATTAGTGACTCAAAGTAGAAACTGAGCTAGACAAGCATAGCCATGAAATTACCGAAGTAAAGAATGTGAAATTTTTGAATTTTCAGCCCATTTTTACAGCCACATACATAGTACAGATTCAGAAGCGAAAAGAAAACAGGAAAAATTCCTGTAGAAGAGACAAATTGAAACTTCAACAAATAAAGAACGTTGAATGAACAAATAAGATAGTAGCTTTAGAAGAAATTAGAATCGATCTTGAGCATATCGAAAAGAATGTTCCAATTCGTAATTTGAGTATGCATCTTTGCAAAGGATTTTACTGTTTTTATAAGAAAGAAGAATGCGATTATGAAACAATTCTCCAAAGTCGACTTATGCCATTACTTGGCTCAAAAATCCCTTTCATTCGCAAAATCTTTTTGTGTAACCCAGCGAAGATTTACCATAAAAGGATTGCGCCCACAAACTGTCCCATGGATGTCCCACAGTGTGCTTAGCCGAGACGAAGGTGTCAATTTGGATTTGCTGAGGTTGGCGCGAATCTTTTAATCTGCATACATAGAGCGCGATATGGTGTGCACAAACATCGTAGCCGATAACAATCTACGCTATTCTGCCATGGTCCGGTTCGTGTGTCGGTCTGCGTCAAAGAAGATGTTCAATATATCTAGCACTAAGTTTTTTATCTAAGAGATCCCGCTAAAAAACTTGTTTAGTATAATAGTTATATTGTCTGATAAGTTTTTTTAGTGTGTTGATTGTTATAGTGGAATCAAAAGAGCAGAACTAGTTCTCTTCGCTTACGCAAAGTCACAGCATGAATGCTTAGACATACGAAAAATTCCAGCTGAAAAAAGCTGTGTACTTATATAATAGGGGCGTATCGAGGGAAGTGGGGACCATTGAGGAGGGGAGGGGCATTTTTGATACTCAAAGAATTTACAAAAATGTGCAAATGGCTTTTACTTGTGAAAAATCAAGATAATCTTCGAAATTTTCAGAAAAAAATCAAATTAGCCTTATAAAAACTTTTTTCGGGGGTGGCCTGCCACTACGCCCCCTTCTTCTAGAATTTTAAACTTTCGGAGAGTTTTGCCGACCGCTCCCTCCGAACAAATCCTGGATATGCTACTGTTATGTAATCATTAGATTAGAGCATTCTATGGTTATGCCACAAGAACATAACACAAAACTCAGTATAAAAAAAATAAGAAAAAGGAAACAAATTTATCACCAATAATGCGGCAGTCTTGCTTGGGTTTTTATTGTCACCCCAATCAAGTCAAACTAGCAGACTTTTCGTCAACGAAGTAGCTTCAATGAGATGAATGAAATGCCAAGGGAAATTCGACAAAAAAATCTCCATTTCCAGGAGGCTTTTTTTTCGAGATTACGACTTCATTGTAGTTTAAGCTAAGAAAGCTATTGAGATTTGCAATCGTTAGCAAAAAAACTTAGCTTTAACAAACCTACTTTCCCTTCTAAACTTCGCTTTTTATCCTCAAAGTACTCTACACTTTCCTTTTTCGTGGCATAGTCAGAGTACGGAAGAGCTGCCGCAAACATCAAGCCGCTTAAGGTAGCAAAAAGAGACTTTCTCAAACCAGTAAAAGAGTCATTATTGGAGAAACTAGACCTTGACGCTTCATATAAGTAAGTCAAATCGTAAGTTAAAGCAATGGTTTGAGTGGAATCTAGTGAAAAAAGTTCACTTTTTAAATATACTATATGGTTTTGATTGAATAATGCACATGAGAGGAGTTGTGAGTGGATGCGAAATAGCTTGTAAACTATCGAAAAAGGTGAGATTATGACCCTCTGAGTTACTTTACATTCTTTTACGACGGAAATGACGATATTTGCCGATAGAATCGGGTTATCAAGAATGACTGGAACTGTGTGGCAACGGCCAAAATGCCAAAATATACAGTGCCCCCTCGCAGACGCTAGCTTTAACTAAACCAATAGTAAGCTGAATACTATTACTGTACGACGTTATTCAATTCGCTTTGGCAGTTTAAAAAGATGGAGCAGTTATGGATGCAAAATTTTTTAATCTCCAAAAAAATTCATTTTTTCTGGCTGCAGCATCACCGAATCATTTCAATCGATGTATCGATTGCTCTAGATGTTGAATCTTAGCTCATTTAGGTAG